TTATATATTATATAAAATATTATATATTATATAAAATATTATATATTATATAAAATAATATATAAATATATAACGTAAAAAGCCAGGTTATTTTTTGCTAAATAATAAGTTAACAGATGGCGCCTCATACCCGGCCGAGCCAAAAACAGTATACGATTTAATTCCATCATTCTTTTCTCAATATACTTCTGAGCATGTGCAGAACTTGCCTAAAGACAACATGCACCATCAATATAGTTCAGCCGTGTAGAGAGATCAGCGAGCTTCCCATACTGGTACAGTTAAATGTCCTTGTGATATATTGAATTTGTTGAATGTACTTTGAGGTGCTTTGGATATTTCATCTAAATTATTATCAATAAAGCATTCAATAATTTCTTCATCCTTCTACATATATGTTCCTTCTTCTAATCCATTATCATGCAAAAGATACAAGGTACTTCACTGATACAGAAGTTTGTTGAATTTAGCAGCATTATTTATTTGCATTTCTCTATCATGACTAAGATATATTTCTAATTATAGATAATGAACGTCCTGTTGTGAATTGCCCATCACACTCGAGCAACTTTGCTTCAAGAGAATCCAACTTCGCTTGGTCAGTGTCCACAGACAGAGGCTCCAAATTTGCTCGGCTGCATTGGCCGCCAGCCAATGCTACTGACAACAGCGGCACTGTAGTATCTGTCACCTCAAATTACAACCCTGGCGACGTATTTGGCGTCAGTAATGCAGCATATCAGATCACATACACTGCAATCGATGAAGTTGGCAATACTGGATATTGCTCCTTCTTCATAACTGTTCAAGGTTTGCAAATTTTGTCTTAATGCATGTAGTCCTTCCAACATCAGCCATAAACATTAGCTGAAACTAAATAAGAACCAATTAAAGTCGAAGTGTTGTGAGTTTTTACTTTGTTTTTCTTGTTTAGATTTGGAAAGTCCGTCAATTAAATGTCCATCTCAAGTAGATTCAAGATCTGCATTCGTGTCATGGGAAATCACGCTTAGTGATAATGTTGCAGTCGTCCATTTCTTTTCGAATGACTCCCGTGTTACACCGACTAATTCTTTACAAAATCAAAACGATATCACTGTAGCACAGAGCGGAACATTTCCTATTGGTACAAGTTTCATCGAATACCTCGTGACAGACTTATCATGGAACGCTGGAAAATGTTCGATGAAAATCACTGTCCTAGGCAAGTTTAATTGGTAGAATTAGTAGCACTTTTCTTACAGTAGGTCAGACACTATACTGTACTCTAATTAATTTACTCATTCGTCGTTACCAAAGTCGTTACCAAATTCTCTTCACATAAATGATTCTGTAGGATACTTTTAGTTATGAATTATTAACATTTCAGTATGAAGACCAGATTGGTTTTTTTTTCTTTCACAAAGAAGATTTAAACATCTTGTCCACCCTCACAAACTGTTTATTCCAATTGTTACCTCTAAATTGTTAGTGCACAATTTGTGTATAGAACATAGATATCTTGTAAAGCAAGTTAGTTAGGAAATAATATGAGCGTACTGCCTACGGTAACGTAAAAATATACCTATCTCAGGATGACAAAAACTGAAGATGATCTAGTAAATCCATCAAATACAATACAATTATGATGGCCAGCAATGAAAATGCAAATAGGTTTATCAAAGTTTTTGCTGATGTAGTACAGTATTGTGCTTGACGATAGTCTCTATCTAAAATCTAGGTTTTGGTCCGTTGCACCCGGCCTCCTACAATCTTTAGAATTGTCTGCTTCGATACATTTTTTAAGACGATGCCACTTACAAGAATTCTTTTGTATTTATCTTTATTTCCAGACACTGAAAGACCATCAATAATGTGTCCTAGTAATTTCTCTAATCACCACGACTATATATTTGGGATTCACCGCCTTGTTACTGATTATGGTCAGTCCTACGCGACAGTCACGTGGTGTCCTCCAGAAATCAAAAACAATAATGATGGGCCTGTCACGTGGGACAGTTACCCATATACATCAGGTGATAAGTTTCCTCTTCGACTGTTCCCTCCATACGTTGTGAAATTTACTGCATCCGATTTGTTTGGCAATAGCAAATCTTGTTACGTATATTTCTCAATAATAGGTAAACACATTCTTTTCTTGTTACTGACTTACTCAATGCTTAATTCCTAATGCCTTTTTCATGCATGCAAATAAATGTATTGCCACGAATATTAAAATTGTTATTTTTTTATCTATCGAGCAAATCTCATTGCTTTTCTGTACATTTCAGATATCGAACCGCCGACTATCACATGCCCGACAAACATTACAAACTACTACGACACATACTTCGGCATTAATCGAGCTGCGCTCGACCCAGGTTCTTCCACGAGTACCGTCATGTGGGATGATCCAACTGTCTTTGACAACAGCGGACGTGTGGTGATTGTAACGTCAACTCACCAATCTGGAGAATCTTTCGCACCAAGATTCTATCCTCCGTATGAAGTGGAGTATACTGCTGAAGATGAGTCTGGAAATAAGAATTTTTGCAAATTCTACTTTCTCGTATCTGGAAACTCAGACACTGACATATAAAATATAGTTGCATCATAAAATATGTTGCATCATTTTATTGTAAGATTATTTGATAATTTATTTCCTATTAACATGTAATTTTTTTTACAAATACTGTATCAATAACTTTTACCAAAAATCAAACGTCTTGATTTGTTTTGTATTTTTTAAATATAAAACTTAATTCTTCAATAAATTTAACTGAAATTGTATTAATTGAAATACAATATAAAAAGTACGTAACACTGCAACATGTTACATTATTCTGCAGTATACCTTTCACACCATGGGCTTTTCACAGTAGTAGCTAAAAAAGCCATTGTTTTTCTTTGCTCTTCCATCATTTTTCCTATCCTTTTGCACGGGGTTATTCCGCGCGGCACGCGAGAACAGCCCGAAAATAACCACGACGGTATATATCTGTTTTAATGTGGGATTTGCTTAAAAAATGACCGGAAATGCCATATTTGACCTATGACGCTATTTTCCCCTACCCCCATGTCTACTGACTAAAAACTTGGTTTCGGTCTCAAATTATTCATATACTGTATAATTAGTTTTACTCACTTTTGTTTCATATTTTGGAAGGCACCTAGATTACAGTTTTGACCTTTAACCTGGCAGGTCACTTTAGTTGTGTGTAACTTCATAATAATAGGTCAAATATTGTTATTGACTTTGATGTCATATTGTGTAGAACCTGTGATTTTATCAGAAATTAACAATAAATTGTATTTCCATCAATCAGAAGCATTTACTCGGGTGATTGGGTTTTTACAACAATCACCACCCTTGCATTTACAGTACTTGCAACACTTTATTCTAGCTCTTCTACAGGGACATGAATTCTTGAGAGCACATTTTGCCACTTCCTGATGATGACGTAATTAATGTCGAAATATTGAATTCCGACAAAATGGCGTGCATTTCGATACTTGGAGTATGTATTATACTATCTTACATTTGCCACACGTGCAGGGATCTGGCAGGCCATCAGGTTTAGAGATCACAATAATAGGGACTAATAAACTGCCACTCATAACAAAACCAAAATTCTCAGCATTGATAATTGATCTGGCATCTCTAAATAGGGCTTGGACCCACAGCTGCTGTTGGTAGTAGCTTCTATAGATATGTTTTCTTGTATTATTTGAGGTACAAGCAGGCCTACAATTTACGAATTTTTCGAGCTCAACATCGGAATATTGATTCAATAATTGAAATACATTCTTTTTTAAGTTTATACACATTTAATAAAATCCACCAAAATAAATTGAAAATACAATTTTTATAATGATGAAGTTGTTTACTTTTCACAAACATGTTGAAATTTCTGGGGATTCACCATTTACATAGTAATTATTATCAACACAACTGCAAATACAGAAATATAATTAATTAATAATGCACAATTACACTATAGACTAATTAATATATTCATGAGGCAGGTAAAAATAATACATTATTGTTTTATATACTTTTATATTAACCATTATTATAGACTAGGCCTATTGCAATTTTATACAAATTATAACTAACACGCAAAAACAAAACAAATTTAAAAGTTCATTCAAGTATATTTATGACACACAATGATTCACATCAATACTATGATCTGAGTATTTTTTAGAAAAGATAAGAGAAAAGAAAGAGGGGAGAGGGAGGGAAAGAGAAAAAAGAGGAAAAGAAAAGGAAAGAAAAAGAGAGGAGAAAAATAAAGACAAGAATAAAAAGGAATATATCATAATGACCAGACTCAAACACCCTGCAACCCCTTCTCCAATTCAAAAACTGTCATAACTCCTTTGATCTATTCTGCCCAAAGGCGTAACCACTGGGGGACAAGGGGAAAATATCTATCTTTGAAAAATCTTCCCCACCCCTTTATAAATGCCCTTTCATCCTCTGAAAGTGCCTAAAAACCTCAAATTTCGCGCGCATTTCTTGTTAACACGGCTAATTTCCTCTAAAAATTGCACATTTTTTGGAGTTTTGATCAATTCCGACGAAATTAGAATTAAAAACACAAAAATATTTTGCGCGCATTTTTAGGGCTTTTTTAGTTTTATCCTTTTAAGTTATTTAAACACATAATAGTCCAAAACTCAAGAAAGACAAATTTAAGATGGATCATTTTAACCTAAAAGAAGGGCCTCACGTGTGTGGCCTATATTATAAATAAGACAAGCCCTATGTCGTATTGTTTTCTATGAAAACAATACGTCTTTAAAGATGGTTGAAATAAAAAATAAAAAAAATAAACAAATAAATACCCACTCTGACACAAGACCCCTGTTACGCGCCTGGTGTTAGCGCCAATTTGTGCCCTTGTGCGGACAGGAGATGTGCCCCACTCTGAAGCTGGAAACCTTGTTTTTGCAAAATAAATTGATGCAATTTGCTATTATAGGCCTAATCAATAAATTCCTCATCAACCGATATAACCTTAAACATTCTTGGAATTGACACATTCTTGGAATTGACATAATATTACTGATGTCCTACACACCCTTCAGTGTGAAATGTGGCTCTCTTTGCAAGCACATCTAACATCTAAGGAAAGAAGAGCTTAGATTGGTACCAGATAAAATTATTTTGTTATCAACATTAATACATTATGCTAATTATCATCTTTAAGCGCATAAGACAGTGCAAGTTATTTCTGTGACAGTCTTTTGAAGTGTGTAAAGCTCCATTTTATCCCATACATAGTCAAAATATTGGTCTCTTATACACATCTAGATGTGTATAAGAGACAGCAGTACATTTGTCAATTACAGAGAACTTCCCCGGGTAAGTAAATTGAGGATGCTGCATAGGCAACTGCAAGTACATGGTCTTGCATGGCTAGCCTCTGTCGCCGTGTAAACGTACCAAAGATGTGTTTGGTAAATTGTGAGCTTACTTTGCCGTCGGCCCATTCCAGATTGAACTTAAAGGTTTCACCAACTCTTTCCCTGATTGACGCTGCGGTAGAGAGACAACGGAAATATATATCAAATAAACATTTTTCCTAAAATTCTTAGTGACCATAAGCTGCGTAAATACTATCACATTTTTTTATTTTTGTTCAATCCCTGTCTCTTATACACATCTAGATGTGTATAAGAGACAGGACTAACACGGCTATATTTTTTATTCATCATGGTTTGTGATATCAATTTCATAATACCAAATTTGAATGTACAAGTTTGCAACATCGTTATTAGTTTTCAAGGGTTATAGAATTTCAAAATATTATATCATTAAAATATTCTTTAAAAGGATGTGGTTTAGACGGTTTAAAAGGAAGGACATGCATTTTGTTTTGTCAGCATTTCCCTATATTTACTTGCCAGTGCAGCTGATCTAGGGCGAGTGAATAGGGTGGCTATCTACCCACCTTCGTTTACAGTGAAAAACAAAAATATTGTGTGTGTGTGTGTGTGTGTGCTGTGTACTATTTCTATTTAACCTTACTTCTTTAGATACCATCTAAGATCGTCTGCTGTCTTCTAAGAAAAATTACAAATGGAGGGGACGCCCTCCCAAAACCACCCCACCTCAGCTCGGACCTTCTCACCTCCCATTATCCACCCCATTTCTCCTAGATCCGCCACTGCTTGCATAGACAAAGTAATATGATGCACTAGGCAACGAAAATTACAAGATGATACAGGAGGCCTATGTTGCGATACGCTATCTACATTTTAAATACATTATTGAAAGGCAGTTTAATAATGAAAGCAATTTGATGTAAGTACAATTCATAAATTTTGTCGACGTCATTAATTCTATAACATTTGCCTTTTTGTTTCTCACTCGATTACTAAGCAATGAGTTTATTGTTTCTATGGTGTAAACGCCTCTTTAAACACGATATACCATTTTGGAAACTGTCTATATATTCGAAAATATAAAATTTAAGATAAATGACAAAATAGGCCGATTTAATATCATATAGTTAAATGGGTGAATTACGTAAGTGCTTTCCAGAAGAAAGAAAACTGATAGGACCTATAATAGGCTAAACCTTCTCACAGTTAAATAAAAAAAACATTAAAGAAATGTTCTTTAAGTCTGGTTATTAAGCATCTATGTCTTATGTATTAAGAAATTATGCAACATGGGCATTTAAAATTCTTTTTACTTTTTATATTTTTGAAAAACTGGACGGCATCATTATAGTAGTCTGCAGACAACCAGAAGCACTGCTGAGGATCCAATTGGCTTGACCTAAAATTTTATATAGGAGGGAAACAAAAATTGTTACACAAAATCTTCAAATTTTGAGGTACATGACATAATATGATTCTTAATCAAATCGATTTCCATATTAAAAATCATGTTAGGATACCACATACATAAGAGAGATCTCTGTGCTCACCGGAAGATAGATAAAATACTCACATTGTTCCGTCACAGAATTTCACAATGATATAACCGTCATTGGTTTCGACAACTTCCCCGGGTAAGTAAATTGAGGATGCTGCATAGGCAACTGCAAGTACATGGTCTTGCATGGCTAGCCTCTGTCGCCGTGTAAACGTACCAAAGATGTGTTTGGTAAATTGTGAGCTTACTTGGCCGTCGGCCCATTCCAGATTGAACTTAAAGGTTTCACCAACTCTTTCCCTGATTGACGCTGCGGTAGAGAGACAACGGAAATATATATCAAATAAACATTTTTCCTAAAATTCTTAGTGACCATAAGCTGCGTAAATACTATCACATTTTTTTATTTTTGTTCAATCCACACTACCAAATTTTATATAACAAATACCTGTGATTTGTATATATGAGCAGTGGCGTTTCTGGGGGAGGGGAGCTCAGCTGTCCGACAGGAGGACTTGAGCTTGTAGGCCCAAGCTTGAGGAAGGGATTGAGAGGGGGATCTCCCCCCACCCACTCTCCCAAATGAGATTTTTGTAATAATAGGAATCTTTGGATGGCCAGACACTCTCAGACTGTGACAGACATGTGTTGCCTTGGCATGGGCCTATTTTTATATTTTTTTTAGTCTGACTGCCCGACAAGCTCTGACTCATATGGTTGGGGGTGGGGGAATTAACCTGTCAGGTGGGGGCTTTAGCCACTGCTTCCCCCTCCCCCCGTTGGCGTCACCAATGTATATGGGTATGACAACATGAGATTATTTTTATCATTCCCATATATGGAAGAAATATGACATCATCATGCCCATATAAGGCCAATTCACAGAATTTTCTCAAATGGAAGAGAAAATTGATTGATTGGTTGATTGATTGATTGATTGATTGATTGATTTATTGAATGAATTGCTAATTATCAATCCTTGACCAATATGTCAAATTATAAGACCTCATTAAATTATATAAGAATGCATGATTATCAACATACCCAGATGGTACATGCCATCCTCGTCGTTCCTCGCCACCACAGCAGATCCTACCCACGATTCCTCACAGTTGATTATATACTCCACAAGCTCACCATAAAGCTCTGTATCTATTTTGTAAATCTCTTCCCTTGGAACTTCAGCCTTCTCATCATCATAAAACAAAACCTGGCAACTGAGATCAGGGAATAAACGTCTGACTTGCCCGGGTGCGTAGCGGAAGGGGTAGTCAGGGTGACGGGCAACAACACAGTTTCCATTCTAAACAAAACACAGAATTGTTTTCTCCAATTTAATAGAATTTTCAAAATTACAAATCTATATATATTATCGGTAAAATGTATAATTCATGATAGTAATATATTTTCTTAAATTTTTAATATATTATTATTAGCAAAATGCTACCTGCAATTTCTATGGAGCCCCTGATAAGCTTGTGCCCCGGGATCTTTCCCCTCTGCACCCCCTCTCGGTGGCCCTCATTACTATTAGGCCTATATGGACCATGTAGTGTTTATTGCTGTAACAGCAAAAAATAGTGAGGAAATAATGATAATAATAACAATAATAATAATAATAATAATAATAATAATAATAATAAGTAATAATAGTAAGTAATAATAAGTAATAAATAATAATAATAAATAATAATAAGTAATAATAATAAGTAATAATGATAATAAGTAATAATGATAAGTAATAATATTAGGTAATAATAATACTAATAATAATAATAATAATAATAATAATACTAATAATAATACTAATAATAATACTAATAATAATACTAATAATAATAATAATAATAATAATAATAATAATAATAATAATGTGTGTATCTAGACACACACATCGTGGCGTGTCAATTATAGCAGGGACACATACAGTGGTCTGTGTTCTACGACAACGGCAATAGCTGGTTACTACCATCACCATCTGTATGTATTCTTACCTGTATCCTATCTGAATGTTCTTTATCTGTGAATATGTATTTTTTCTCAATAGCTCCAACGTTGTCCGATATAAAATACCGACCGTCTTCTGCTACATTTTCTATTGTTCCTTTAATTAACGAAAAGTGATCAATTAGACAATACAGTGTAATCATATATCAATAATAGTAAATAACAATAAATAAAAAATAACAAATATTTTAATTACAGAGTGCACTTAAATAAATCTGAATTAAAAATAATTTACAATGCTTGTAGACTTAAATTTATACTACGTCTAATGGTAGGCCTATGTGACAAGAAAATGTAATATGCCCATATTTGGCCATAATATGACATCATCCTACCCATATAAGGGGCACATCACAAATTTGTCACATACAATTTTATAGTGTGGATTGGGATTATCAGATGTAACTTTAAAACAGCATTTTATTAAGGTTACAAATGATACATTGCACCTACCTCTATAAAACCACCCATCAACAGACCAGCGAGCAAGAACTTCATCTCCTTCCTTCATTTCACCTCTGTCCTCCCCCTCTTCTTTAATGGACTCTTCCATTTCTTTATTTTCACTTTCTTTAAATACAGTAATAAAATGAATTTAGAATATGAATCATAAAAAAATCAAATGTTTTAACCATTTAAGCAAATAGTAATTTTATTGTTTTTTATCCGGATTCCTAACAAATTTTTTCTCAAGCGAATTTGTTACTGTATGCAGAAGCTGTTATTAACACAAATTAAATCTGAAAAGCCAATTAAATTATCTTACTTCAATTCCAAACTTGAATTAAAATATATTCTAATTAAAATCACATAACAAAAAAGTACCTGTGACAGTTAAAATATCTGTTGTGTAAGTTAAGATCTTTGAAATATGAAAAACCATTATGAACTAAAACATAGAGCATAATCCTAGCTACTGTTGTGTAGAAAATGTTGTATACAGCGACAGTGACCCCGAAACACAAAGGAGAACCAATACACCTACTTTACTTGCATACGTTCCGCAAACTTTTTACTTCACAGCCTATGTTACGATTCCACGCGCCATGTCGTGGCCCAGAGACCAACACCAAAATCTGGCAAAAAGTTTTGATCATGAAGCCAGACCTCCATGTATACAATAGTTTGACATCATTATCAAACAAATTGTGTACAAATTAAATAGTAAGATTTATTAAAGAAATAATTCCGTAAACTTGTGTTTTCCCTCACAATTGTTGATTGTTTTTTTTCTACCATGAACACGGTTTAAACACCCACGTCATAGCTTTCTCCTCCAAAAAACTTTCACTCAGACACTCAGTCACTCACTCCGCAACTTCCAAAGATGATGGCGGTTCATCCACTAACGTCGCTTCTTTCATCACACCTTTCATTTGAATTTCTTCTTCACTAATGATAAACTTTGGTAGTCATCCAAAACATTTGTAGTCAATAAATAATGGTAAATCATTTTGTCGTTGTTAAATGGAATGTTGGGTAATGAATGTAATTTTAGCCTAGGACAACTACGTATATATTGTTTCATACAGCATCATCTGGCACTTTAGCAGCGTGTACAAGATACGCATTCGCTGTAACAATGAAGCGGCGTAATTAAAGCTAATTTCCCCATTTTGAAAGGTTTTTGGTTTATTTTTTTCAATTTCTCAGACAGCTTCGCGGCCCCCTCATAAGTGTTTCGAGGCCCAAATTTGGGCAGCGGCCTATAGTTTTCGGAACGAAAATTTCACAAACAGACATCCAAATAATTCCGTAAGTTTGATTTTATGACAGCCTTGTGTCTTATGATTAAAATTAAAAAGAAAAAATGTGGGTCTTCGTTATTCGGGTTTTCGGTCTTCGTTTTGTCCACACCCTATATGACCCTTAAGTATTTCTTGATTTTCCTCATATATTCTGATGAAATAGGTACTTGCGAATAGTTTTATGATAATCTTGAAATACTTCCAATAAAATAATTGAGAAATAATTGTATGTCTTCGTTTTTTAGGTCTTCGGTCTTCTTTTTGTACACACCCATATAGGGTGTGTACAAAACGAAGACCCTGAAAATTTCACAACAGACGTCCAAATAATTCCGTAATTTTGCTTTTGTGACAGCCTGGTGTATTATGATGAAAATGAAAGAGAAAAAATAGGGGTCTTTGTTTTTGGATCTTCGGTCTTCGTCTTATACACACCCAATCTATATATCTCTCTAATAATTTCATTCTCTATATATATATATATACACATGGAATCAAAGGAGGTGCTATATAACTTCCAAGAAGATGGTCAATGTCACATCATTGACTGAACTACCTGTTTAATACTCAATACTCAACTTCCAGGGTGAATAAGTTACTTCCTGAAGTTGAGACTTCATAAGGTAGGACTAGAATGTCCCTCTTGGTGCCAAATCAACATAAGATTTTGCGAATCTGGTTTGGTAGTTATGAGTATCAGATGCTTGGAATTTATACATGACAGTGTGGAGGTGATAATTAACCAACCAAAATGTAAGCCTGTTTATTTCTACATGATTGAAGTTTTAGTTGAGTATACCATGAAGCATCACATCATTTCAGCTGCTAATTAAGTGACCCCAAATTGGATTTCATCATACAAATCTTATCAAGGGTGGATCCAGAGAAATTCAAAAAGAGAAAGTGGGGGGGGGGGATGGGTGAAGTGGGGCTGATCGAGACAACACTACCATTGGGGGTCTAGGGGCATTTCTCCGCAAAAATTGTGTTTTCTAAAAGCTAAAAGTCACCTCTGAGGCAATTTGGGTGACCATTTTTTTTCTTTCTTTCTTTCTTTCCTTTTTCATTTCCTTTTTTTTACTTTCCTAAATCCGCCCCTATTAATGATATACCTATTTAATGGAATATATGTATATTTCGCCATGATTCAAAGCTAAGAGGATTTTTGTTGATTCCATAAACTTGTGCTAGTCCCCAAGATCAAGAATTTCCAACAATTAAAATGAAACTCATACCATCCTCTTTCCTTGATGGATGGGCTGCCTCTGACTGGGTGCTCTGTTCATGAGTTGGTACTCGCTTGGTAATCAGCTCCTGAAACAAGAACATAAAAGAGTATGAACATTCAAATTTTAAGACATAATCACTATAATCCAATTAAACTCAAAAACAAATGCTGAAGCATTGTTAGAGTGTTAAAATTAATAGTGAATTCCTGTTATTATCTGCAGTTCAATCGAGAATGTGGCCCTGTTCTGCATTTAGCATGCCATTCACGTATTAAATCCATGTTTTTCTATTGGTTGGTTGTAATTATAATAAATCAATATCGTTATGACAACAAGATGAAAATTTTGAGAATACCTGTTCATTTATTCCATTTCAACAGACCAACAGCGAGTTATTGCACTAACAGTTTTTAACAAAATTTAAATATATCAAATACAGACGAAAGTCTACAAACATTTCACCTATTCAAATGATTAATTATAATAGAACGAAATATAGACAAACTATTGTAAAACATGTTAATATTAGTAGTTAAAATAAGAGAATCATTAATGATTCTCTTATATAATTATATACCTGTTGTTTGTCTATCAGTTTTTGTTGTTTGTCTTGCAGTTCACTATGCTTATCCTGAAGCTGGGCGTGTTGGCTGTCATAACCTTTGTGCACTTCTTTGAGATTTTGAACAGTTTTTTTCAATTCCTTGAGAAAATCCTGTCGAGAATAAAAGCCCCAAATACTGCCATTTGTCATATCTCTATGAATAAATTCTAGCTGCAGTGGTATCTACCTCATAAACAAATTTATATTGCAGTATTGTTCGGTTCAGTAATCGGTATTAAAACGACATGAACTAAGACGGATGAATTTTTGCCCAGCAACATTAAGTAATTTAAGTGAAAACATCAAAGCATGATGAGAAAAAAAAATACAAACTGATTGTTGACGGTTCAACTGGCCTTGGAGTTCCTGAAGGCGTTTCTGAATTTCACCAGTAGTAGAGTTACCATCATTTGCCAATTTCCTGTGCTTGCTGCCAACATTCTTTGCTAAATCGTCTTCATTATCATTTGTTTGAGTTTGCTCATTGTCTGAAAATGATGATCTTAATCTTGATGAATTCTCTGACCTCTCAGAAGACAAATGAGATCCTGATTTTGCAGATGACTTGGATGAATGAGATCTTACTGATGGCTCTGATTGTGACCTTGACGACCTTGCATGTGAGCCTTTCAAGCCAGTAGATGAACGTGGTCTTGACTTTCTAGGAAATACTGAAGACCTTACAGACCTAGATCCTGAGCGCAAAGGTCTTGAACACGGGTGTGATGATCTTGAATGTGAGCGTAAATATCTTGACCATGAGCTTTTTGATGATCTAGAACCAGAAATTGACCTTGATCTTGAGTGTGAATTCTCCGAAGCACTGGATTCATCTCTTTTCTGTATAGTGTCAGCTGATCTTGACCTTGATCTGCTGGATGACCTTGAGGGTGACCTACTGGATGACCTTGACCTACTGGATTTCACAGTAGATTTCTTTTCTACAGGAGATAGGCAAACCAATGTATGTAATAATTAGTACTCTATCTTTAAAATGCATAAAAATAAATTTAATTTATTAAAAAATATATAGCATTTGTTGATTAAAAATCAGTACCTTTGTCCCCACTCTCTCCGTCATTCTTCTTCTTTCTCGAGTGCCGTCTGTGTCCCTCTCTTCCTCCGTGCTTCACTTTTTTCTCCTTTTTATCCTTGTGTTTGCCTTTTTTCACTGTTCCTTTCTCGTCTTGAATTGTATGGTGACGACTAAAACAAAATATTTTTATTTTATATTTTTTTATATGTTTACTAAATTGATAGTGAAAAAATATATTTAAATATGTATAATAAATCAATACTGAAAAACATAAACCATTATAATGTACAAATATACTTTACACTAGATTTTGCTTGAAATGTCTTACTTTTGATGGACTAGTTCTTGCAAATCCCAATACCGCAAAGCAAATTTGTACTGAGATTTGCTAATCTTCACAATAGAGTTCCGCAGAACATGGACCTGTGGGGAGAAGATTTAACCAATCAGAATCAGTGATATAACTTGGAATTTGAAATGAAGAATGAAAAGTTGGTATAGGGGATATTACTGGGAAAATGTAGTGTATATGAGCTTATATATAGGCCTAACTACAGTACTTAAGATACATTTTTTAATGTTCAGCAAGTTTTCAGTGGGATCGGTGAACTTGGGAGGAAACTGTTTCTTTAGTGGGGTGGGTGGGTGTGTGTCCAACATCTCCTAAAAAGGCCACTGGTCAGGGACTTAAGCAAATAGACACAGGCCCTTATCCTCTTACCCTACAGTACAACATTTTTATCACTGGAAAAAAGTTGGAATACATTTTATAGATATAGTCTACAATTTTTAAGAACATAATAATTGCAGAATATTGACATATATTTATTGTTGACATTAAGGAGGAAGAGTACAGTTAAATTATAAAAATCTCACAGTTTTGTTGTTAAACTTGATAACGGTGTAGAGCTTATCATGTTTTGCTTCATCAACAGGGGTGACTTGAACCATACCTGGTACCCAGCACTGGTAGGGCACTTTGCCTGTCTTTACAAGTACATAGTCGGCGACCTGTGAAATTAATTCAAAAAGCTATTAGAGATATAATAGCAAAACTAAGAAAATAAGAATTGAGTACGGAAGAGTGCAGGGCTCAAAATCTAGAATGTCTTAGCTAATACAAACTACTATTTAAACCAAATCAAGAAATAGTGTTTTGTGATCATTGCTTTTAATCCAATGATCAATCATTAATTTGAGATTAATGTAATTTTAGAGATGCATGTTATCACTGACAACAAATATTAGGTGGTAGAGGCAGCTGAAAAAACAGTGACGTAGATGAGGTTGACAATCACTTTAAGACTAACAATAAAAAAATAACTCTGTTTACGCTCAGTCACCTGAAGAATGTTGAATTTTTTAAAAATGGGGGGGGGGGCTTTGTTCTGTAAAGCATTGACGTAATCGTCACTGATCTAGTACATGTACAGTACTTACCCTGAGGACGGGACATGGCCTGGCTCCAATCATAGGAATGACAAAACGAGATGGCACCAAACTTTGGGTAAGATTGTGAAACTGGACCTCAATATGTCTTGCATTTGAACCATCGACAACTGTACCTGTGGTTTGAATATACTTCATCTACTTTTGCTGAGATACAAGAAGCCCATAAGGTATATTATTTGATATAATATTGTTTTAGGGGAAGGGGTAAATGTGTGAATTGCTTATGAAAAGATGGAAGTGGTTCATTTTTACTGTTAGTACAATTTGTTTAGTCGGGTGGGGTATAATTTGAGATGTTCAGACAAGTAGGACAGAAGGGATTAATTTAAGTTGTATTGAGTTGGGTTTAAATTTTAGTTAAAATTGTTACCATCATCATCACCGCCACAATCATTGTCGTCACCATCACTGTCCATTGTTTTTGCTATCATAGTCATAATCTCACTTTATTTACCCCTATAATAGAATTCATCCTCTTCGTTGCGTGCGATCACTTGCATTCCCTTCATCTTTTCTAAGATGCAGCGTACATGGCGCTTGAAAAGCGGCTTCTTGAGACGTTTGCCAACAGTTTTCTCACTACCAGTGACCAAGGTATTGAGGCCCTACGGAAGATATAAAGGAAGGGAATAAGGGAATGAATGGACAGACAACAAACATCCTCCTGACGGCTTTTACAGGGCTGACCAAGCCGTCGTACCGGGCTGGGTAAGAAGAGAAAAGATGGAGGAGAGAAGGAGGGGAAGGAAGATAAAGAAGGGGAAAAGAGAAAGAAAGGAAAAAGGAAGAAAAAATAAAGACAAGAATAAAAAGGAAGATATCATGATGACCAGATATCACACAGCACACTTCTCCACTCTCATTGTCCATAGCGCATTTGATCTAAACCGCGAAATATTCCCCGCAGTGGCGTAATCACCGGAGGACAAGGGAAAAATCTATCTGGAAAATATTTCCCCATCCCTTAAAGATGCCCTTTTCACCCCTAAATGTGCTTAAAACCTCAAACTTCGCGGTTTATTAGCGCGCATTTCTTGTTAAAGTACTGTAGTAGGCCAATTTAGGCTCTAAAAATTGTACATTTTAAGGAGTTATGATCAATTCCAACGAAATTAGAATGAAAAACAGAAAAACAAAAGGCTATTGACGAAACACAATGATCAGAACAAAACACAGCGACAGAACTTGGCATGCATTTTTATAAGTTCTTTGGTTCCCCAGCAGTTGATTGTCAAGTAGAATATATAGGCTTACGAATGTTATTGACAATAGAACCCAATACGCCACAGCGCCTTGTTATTAACATTAGGTGCTATATAAATATTGACTATCATTATAATAGCCTAGACGTATTGCAAAAAACCTAAATTTAGTTGCGTTTACCTCTTTGATTTAACAATGGGCATCTTCTACCATGGGTCTCAAATCATGCTTGAGTACTCTGCAATTCTTGAACTTTTAAATGTCTATGATAATGTTTTTACTTCCTCTTCGGTGCTATTTTTTAATTATTTAAAAGAGCTGAATTAGGGTACCAATCATGGGAGTTGTTTTTAAACGTTTTCTTTACAGCGTTTAATTTTAGATCTGATTGAGTTATCCCCTAAATCACAACGCACTATTGAAAATGTATTATCGAAATTTATAATATATGGGCCTATGTTATAAATACTTTTTTTCATAATTTTTTTTCTTCACGGGCCGAATCAAATTGCCTCGTGTAAATGTAAATTTGAACGTCAATATATTTTCTGCTAGAAATCACTCTCACAAATATTCTAATAGTAGTAATGTACTTGCTTAAGTCATAATCGAAGTGGTTCACTTGCCAAGGGAGGGTTGGCTTGTCAAAAGGGGGTTTGGTTGAAAAGGACCCCCCTGGCTACGGGCCTGTATGCTAATACAATACTGTATGACTTGAAAAGAAGGCTATTGACGAGACACAATGATCAGAACAAAACACAGCGACAGAACCTTAGCGTCATATATTAGAGTCCAGTATGACAAATTATTTGCAGGAGACAATATGCATTTTTTAAAGTTCTTTGGTTCCCAGCTGTTGATTGTCAAGTAAAATATAAAGTAGGTTTACGAATGTTATTGACGATAAAACCCAATACGCCACAGCGCAATTGTCATTAACTTTTGGTGCTTATATAAATATTGACAATCATTATACCGATAGATGTATTGCGAAATAACCTACATTTAGTTGTGTTTACCTCTACGATGTTTAACAATGAACATCTTCTACCATGGGGTCTCAAATCATGCATGAATACTCTGCAATTCTTAAACTTTTAAATGTCTATGATAATGTCAAATGTGCTTTTTTTTTAATTATTTAGAAAAGCTGAAGGTATACTTATTTATACAGTAATATTCTAACTGAAGATTTTATTGTTAGCCTAATATCTGTAACTTAACTTTTTCCCATTTGTTTAACTTATTAGCTTGCTGAAAGTTTGTCTCATTTTACTGTATCTCTTTTAATTGTATCTAAATTACTTGATCTATATATTTTATCTGCAAACCATGATTATATTATCCCTTTTTTAACACAAGGTTTTGTAGCCAAATATTTTACACCTATGTCACCATCATACTGTAACTTTAAGCCATCTATTCATCTTTGTTGCTTTTGTTGTTCCTTTTGTGTTTAATTTTATTTAATTTCTCTTTTTTTCTCTCTCTTTTCTTTTGGATGCACCATCAGGTATTGTCTGATGTGTGCCACTGATGCTAAAGTGAATCCACCTTTTACAACCAGATAGATACGGGCAATGCAGCCAGTGCAAAGCACTGGGCCCCAGTGTTATCAGTGGCCCTTTATAAATAGACCAAAAAATAATAATTTAAAATACAAGATACAAGATAAAATTTATTGTCTCCAGTTAAAATAAACGAAGAAATTACAAAGCTCGCAAAATGGAAATTCCAGGAAAATCACGTTAAAATTCGTCAAGGAAAAAAAAAGAATCAACATCAAAAATCAAAATTCCATCAAAAAGCACAGAAAAATGTAAAATAATTTCCATGTTAATTTTGAAAAAAAAAAAAAACTTCCAGCAGGCCCCTAAATAATATTGGCTTTTTGATGTGTAATTATTGATTACTGTGTTGATTTCACTTAAGTGGTGCGTTCAAGTGGGCTCCAGCCAGTGTGACACTATCAAAATTATCAAAAAAATGGAGAAAAAAGGAAATATATTCATTAATTATTATGAGAGGCATTTCCAGCCATCTGGAGGTGCTATAATCATAAATTTTCTTACCTCAACCATGATGGGGCTCAGATAGGCTTTTCTTTACCTGTGAAAATTCCTCTCTGACCCCTCTATTTCGAAATCCCTTATTCGCCACTGCAATTTTATTTTACGTGCCATCAATTTTCCTGATTAGTTTTGAACAGCTGCTGAGACCGTAAACGTCACTCTTAAAATAGTTCCGAAACTGATAATCATTAATATTTATTACTAATCTAGGCTTTTTAGGAGTAGGGGCAAGAAGCAAACAATTCTTAATTTTTTTGAGAACTTCAGGCAATTCCCATCACATCCCCGGAAATCAGGGCCCGGAAATTAATCTTACACTGGAGCCCTTTCGCACCTAGCTACAACGCTGTTTACAATCATTATAAAAATGAATATTTTGTCATGCTCTGGATGAACATTAAGACTTTTATCAATTTGCCTACCTATTTGTGGTAGGTTTTTACTGAATTATTTCTTAGCTTTTTTAATTATTCAGTTAATTCTTGCTTTATTAAAGGTGCAGTCAAACAACGTACCATGATGAACTTCCGTTATAATTAAATGTTTAATTGTTTAGTTTCGATTTCGCTTTATGTCACAAAGCTATATTCATATTCACATGTATGTTTACAATAGAATTTTTTGTTGAAAAAGTTGCATCAAAATTAGGCCTACAAATCCAACGACATTGAGTTGTAAACTACCGTATTGGTGCGGCCAAAATCGGACCGCTTCCGACGCCCCGGCAAAAAAACATTTAAAAGTAGAAACAAACAATAACATTAGGTCTACCTATTTTTTTAAAAGTAGGCCTACATGACAAAACACAATTTCTGTTGGCTAATTGAGTATTATAAGTAAAATAATGAAAACTCATAATTCATTAATTGGCCTAAGAATAATTGTTTAAAGTGAATTAAGGTATCTTTTATACTGATGTTTGGAAATATGTAGGCCTACATTGGGATTACATTTGATTTAATCAAGAATTTCATTCCATAATTAAAATAGACCTTGTGTCCTTATAATATGTCTAGCAAGGTCAATGTTAAAAGTATGGGGTTGATACATGTATGGAAGAGGGCCTTGTGCCATAACTATGAAAATTACGATTGTAAATATCCAAATAGTGGTACTTACCAGTATCGGTGTTGACTTTCCGCTTATGGGCTAGATACAATTGGTAGCACTTGTGTGGCATACGTATATGTGCACTTGAAGTGACGTTCATTTTCCTTGGGCTTCCCAAGGGGTCGCCGACGATCACCGCCCACCTCAATGTATATTTTAAAACCGTTATAGATTTTCTTTTGAAGCGTTTATTACTATATAGGCCTATTATTATACATTTCTTTGTTCATTGGCGAATGGCACTTGAATGTTCAAAGCTCTTTTACAGGCCCCTATATTGGTACTGTTGTTATTAATAGTAATACTTAAACAAACAAAAAACTGTCTTATAATGTTTATAGCTGACGCGACGCTCATAGCTATTCGGAAGGCGTTTGAAAAAGACAAGAACACAGACTGGTTCTTCATCTTATTACAACCAATGATGACATGTTTGTAACTACCTGTAAGACTAAGCTAAGAACGGAGTTTGTTGATGCTCAAACTTCAAATTTAAAACAGACATTAGACCTACGTTTTCTTAGGTGCTTGTGATGACGAATTAATCTGTAAAAGTAGTTCGAACTGTTTCTACTTTTTGCGAAGCGAAAAAGGTGCGCAGCCAATCAGAGCTCAGGATCCGAGCTGACGCATGATTCGCGCGAATAAATTCGCCTAGTGGAAAACGGCCTTAAGGATGCCCGGCAATACAAAAACTTAATCACCATTATTTCGTCAAAATTGTTAACAATATTTTATTTATTTATTCTGTCATTAAATACCTCAGTATTGATTAATTAATCCAACAACTATATTTATTAAGATCGATTTTAAGAGTTTAAAGGACTAAAATATAATCATTCTTTTATACACTGTTATTAACACAACTGCAAATACAAAAATATAATTAATTAATATTCATACACAATTACATGATAAACTAATTAAAATATTCATATTGGAATATTCATGAGGCAGGAAAAAATATGAAATGATAGTTTTATGGACTTTTATATTAACCATCATTATGGACTTTTGCAATTCTACACAAATTATGACTAAATGCCTAAACTCACTGCTTGCGACGCCGACTCGACGGCAACGCGACGACAAACGTACGCGACGGCGCGGACCCAACGGCTAACAATTAGTAGACGGCGTCGCGTCGTCTATCGCCCACCGGGAGTTGGATTCGTCGTGCGGACGGGGGTACGACGCAGTGAGTGACCGGCTTAACACGTATATCTATGACACAAAATGATTCACATCAAAACTAATTGTTTGAGTATTTTGTAAAACGACAACCATGATATCAACATTAAGGACAGGGTTATACAATGGGATGATGTGCCAAGGGGGATGGTTACGCAAATCATGGGTAGTGTGTGGGGTCACAGGGATGGCGCCAGAATTTGCACAATAGGATGACGATGTCCATGATGGAGAGGAGGCCGATGTCCCGTACAAGGACTTTCGACTTTCGAAAGCGGTCCAGGGGACAAAGCCACCGAAAATATGAAAATTTAGGGTGTTTCTAATGCTAATTTTATCGATTTTAGTGTCTACTAAGATGTAGAAAATATATATAATGTTTCTTCTCACAGACGATCTGTGATTTTCTTTCGTGTCCGTGGGGGGTGGGGTGGGGGCTGAAGAGGAAGCTTTCCCCGACAGGGGCCATTGAAGGCTGAGGCCCATTGATCGCACCCCATTCAACTCATTTCCTGAAATATTTTGTATGAATAAGCAAGTATGGTTTAAACCCAGAGAATACAATTTAGTCTTAAATTCTTAAAAGTGTCGTTTCTTATAATGTTCTACAGCAGACTAACACGGCTACATTTTTAATTCATCATGGTTGTTAATATCAATTTTATAATACCAAATTTGAATTTACAATTTTGCAGCATCGATTTATTAATATATAATATATAATAATATAATATATTATTATATATATAATATTATATCTTAAGTAGTAGTAAGATACCATTTACAGAAATAATTTGGCATCTCTTTATTTTTTGCACTTAGCATTCTCATTTGTTCATAGTTGCTCAGTAAAAAAAGATGGAACACAACTATTTGAATATTATAAAATGAGAGAAGGGATTTTAAATCTTCAATCAACCAATCATCAATTGCTGCACATTCACACAGAAATAAAACATTAGTCCAAGGAACAATGTCAAGATAATATAAAAAATGTTGTCATTATGATGTATTGCACACACAACACAAATATAAAATTCCTTTACACATTTATAAAATTCGATTTGAGGGAAACTCTGCTAAACTTCCACAGGAGCATGGGGAAATGTCCGATCTGCTGATCCCCTTGGTTGAGGGCCTACAAACAATCAACAGTTAACCATTTTCATTGAGTACTTGCTAAAATCTTGGGTAGAAAGCCCCAGTTATAGTCTCCTCATTACAGTTTATCATTCTTCTTTAATCTGTGATCTGTGCTCTTCTCTGCTGAAAGAAAAACTGGACAACATCATCATAGTAGTCTTCAGACAACCAGAAGCACTGCTGAGGGTCCACATGGCTTGAGCTACAATTTTATAATACGAGGGAAACAAAAATTGTTACAAAAAATCTTCGTAATGTGAGGTACATGACATAATTATTATGATTCTCAATCTGACCTATTTCAATATTAAAAATCATGTTTTAGAAGAGATCTCTGTGCTCACCGGTAGATAGATAAAATACTCACCATGTTCCGTTACAGAATTTCACAATCATATTCTCCATCATGAGGGTATTGCTATCAAATGCAGCAAGGCGCAGATCGTCAAATGTCTCCAGGTCTGTTGATGATTTATGACCAAAAAGGTTTCTGCTATCTGTACTGCATCTTGTAGATATTTCCTGCACGATTAAAATTGTAACGGTATAGAGTACTGGGTTTGGTCTACAAGAGTTCGTGTTTCGTACAGGTCATTCCATTCATCCTTTATATTGGAGAAAGCGTACCTGTTGTTCGCCATAGTAGCCTAGGTCAATATGAACTCCGGCTATATAAAATTAATTAAAAGATTGAAAAATATTGCCGTACTCGCGCGAATAAGAGCCACCCCCCCCCCCCCCCCCCCCCCATTCAATTCTGGACTGTGGATGTTGGCATGATTTGAGGTGTGGAGTAGAATCACATTCTCCTTTAGTCAATATCAAAATGAGGATATTTATGTTGGACAGATGAGAGCTTCCTGGACAGACAGTAGGCCTATACAGTATTTCCAACTTTCATCTTCTTACATTTTTCTATAGCCTAGTCCAACTGCTTTTCCGAAAATTTTCACCTAACACATTCTCATCTGAGTTTTCAAGAAAACCTGCAATGATCATGCAATCCTGCTAATCTCAATCGGCCGAGGCCAACAAGCCAACCACCACCACTAATTTCATTTGCTATTCTGCTGTTATTCTGTTGTGCGTGGGGTCCAGGGGACTGCCTGAGTGCCCCGGTGGGTTGGGGGCGAAGCCCCCGAAGCCAGAGAAGTTTTTTTGTTTAATGGGTCTATATAATGTTATAAAAGCAGTTATGTTTTGAAAAAGATCTATGTAATAAAAGGTGGTAATATAATAAAAATGGAAAATATTTCCTGAGCATGTTTAAATCACACCGAAAGACAAAAAAAAAACGTCATTGTATAATCAATATCAGTATACTCAACACATTTATTATTATAAAACAAAACAGGCTATTATATAGGCCTATAAAGTAATTTACAAAGAAGTATGTACTGTGCTTCTTTATAATATATAAAACATTTAAAAATTGTTGTCTTGTTTTAACTTAAATAATGAATCTTCCAGTAGGCTTATATAAACAAATAGAGTTGCCTGTTACAAAATAAAGTAGGAGCTGAACTTCTTCTTGACTCTCCACTTGTACACTGAAAATAATAGTACTATTTTTACTACATGGCTAAAAAAGCACAAATATTGTCATTACTACAACTGACAGGGCCATCGTTAAATTAAGTCAGAGCCCAAAATATATCATCATATTGAATACGTCATCTGACAACATGGGAACCTAAACTTTAATTACAATTATTTGTTTACTATAGGCCTAATTCTAAATTATTATTTTAAGACTTTAACCTAATACATACTGATTAATAATAGAATAGCTGAGATTTGATTCACGTTTCAGAATTAATAATCGTTTTTAGTATCTTACTGAATATTTATTGTCTACCAAATGAAATATGAATTATATATGAATCTTTAGAAATACAATCTTGTTTTTATATAGATAAATGTTCGATAAATATTATTGTTCATAAAAAAAACGAAATTCAGCGCGTTTATTTTCATTCCAATCAATGGCGTTTGTAAACATGTGCACTGACGTCATCGTCGAATCCTAGGACTTTCGACGGCAATGCTGGCCTGCCTACTTAGGTATCAGGCCAACCAATAATAATCAACAAAATGTATTTTTTTAAATATAGGTCTATGGCGCATCCTAGTACATGCACTTTTACAACAAAAGCCTAGGCCTAGAAGTACGTCCTACTGTAGGAGCCTAGGCCTACACTAGTCTGATGTCGTCGGGGTACAATTCTGTCTCTAAATGCAGCGTGACCACTAGGGAAAATCAAAATTCCCAAGATTGGGTCTAAAAAATTCCAAGATTGCTTTTAAAAACCCAAGATTCGCAAAATATTAGTAGGGCCTATATACATAAACTTCATTTAAAAGTCCTTCATTTTAAAGCTTTTTCAATGAATTATATACTGTACGGCAAAGAACAGAAGGCAGAAGGCAGCGTGTTGCTGCATCATTATTGTTCAATTACGATCACTATTCAAACAGAGAGAAGGCTGATAATTTGTTTTTCCCACAGCTATTTAGATGTTGTTGGTAACTTTTTTTTTTAAATTGTGAGTGTAAATATTCTTTAGTGTATATACTGTAGATAAGAATTGTAAATAAATAATGCACATAAAATCAATTGTCGATGGAGAACGGCGTCAGTCATCTGATTAGTCCCATATTAATACTGTAGTACCAATATTTTGAATACTCCTGTTCTGCGAATTGTTTTATTGACAGTGACTCATCTAATTCTTATATAGTCACTATAACATTTTAATCGAAATAGTTCACTAAATCGTAAAAGTTTGAATACCCACCCAATT